TCTGACACCCTTATATATATGTTTATGCCGCCGTTTTCGCCAATTGGTAACAAATATATGTCCATCTCTATCCCACTCTAGAGGTTCCTTTTTCTCCAAGTTACCCCCCCATTCACTCCATCTCAAGGTCAATCTATCCACCGGCAGATTCCATTCTCCTCACACCTCTCCACCTTTCCAAATCCATCTCTCAACCCATATCATGTCCATCTATCCCCCCCCCCCCCCCACCTCAGTCTACACCCAACTCTCCATCTATCCACTCATCTCTCCACCCTTCTCCGTCTACCCACCCATCCACCAATCTGTCTATCCACCCATCTCTCCACTCATCTCTCAATCTATCCACCCATCCACCCATCTGTCTATCCACCTACCGAGTGTTGTCGGCCGCCCCGTGCACAGAGTTGTAGATCACGTGACCGGCTACTTTAGCTTGTTCCTCTCGAGCAGACGAGCTGGCGGGCAGCGGGCTCACATCCTGTGATGGGGAGAGGAGGAGGATGAGGAGGGGGGGGGGGGGATTTTAGTAAGAGTTTTACGGTAATTGCAACAAAATTATGACTTGTTTGTTTGCGCAATTGAGAAGCACATCGTCGAAACAATAATTGTCATTTAGAGCTGGGGGAAAAAGTAAGGCAGACAGACAGAAACAACAGAGAAGGAAAGTAGAGAAGTAGGCGCAACACATTGAGGTCATAATTAATGTTCAGTTTTAGTAAGAGTATTACGCCACTTGCAACACAATAAAGTCATATGAGCGCCAGGAGAATAGAGGTGTTACAAGAGAGTAACAAACACAAAAAAAGAAGGAGGGTAGATCGGGACGATAGATGGTTGGTATGAAAGAAGGAGCAAACCACACCAGAACCCCCGCCAAGCATCTCTAATAATCGCCGGCTGGGGCAAGGGGGGGGGGGGTTGTAAGAGTTTTACGGCACGACACTTGCAACACAATGAGGTCATGTAAAAGCCGAAGATTAGAAATGTTACAGAGCAAGCCATTTGTGTTTTAGTTTTGGGGCATTACAACACAATTAAGTCATATAGGTGCCGAAGATTATTAGAGACGATACAAAAGAGTGAACAACCACGAAAAAGAAGGAGGAGAGATCAAGATGACACATATTTGATAGGAAAGAAGGAGCAAAGCGCACGTACCAGAGCACCCGCTAATCACGAACGAGTTTGGTTTGAGTAACAGATATACGGCACTTGCAGCATAATACGGTCATATAATGAGCTGAAGATTAGAGGAGTTACAAGAGAGAAACAAACACACAAAAGAAGGAAGAGAAATTAATAAAGACGATATTAGTTTGATAGGAAAGAAGGAGCTAACCACACCAGAGCATCCGCCAACCACATGAACTGTTTGTTCAATATACATGTAGTTTCTTTTTTAAAATAATCGGTTTTAGTAATGCCTGCCGCTCTCATCAAACGGCCAGACGAGAAAAAAATGTTTCCTCGATTCGCTCTTACATGCATGGGTTGTTTGTTTGTTGGGGGAAAGAGAAGCACATTGACATTTAGGGTTCGGGAAAAGAAAAAGCAAGACAGAAAGACTGGAACAACAGATGGAAAAGTTTGTTCATGAGTATTTTGTATGTGCTCTGGTGTGTGTGTGGGGGGGGGGGGGGGGGGGGTGAGGTACATTCGCACCGAACACACATTAAACATTTTCATTTTGGAGGGATTTTTGAATTTTAACTGGGTGGCTGCCGAACCCTGCTTTAATCGATTTTGGACAACAAAGGGATCTTTAACGTGCGCAACTTGCATACGGGACCTCCACGTTTTTCTCCCTTGTATGAGAAAGCTTTCCTACCAGAAGATCAGGGGTGACGTAGAAGGCTGCAGAGAGAGTCAGGAGCCCAGAGGAGTGGGCAAGGAGGTAAGGGGGTGGAGGTAGAAAGTGGAGACCGAAAGCAGACGACAGTAGAGGTGGGCACAATCCGGATAATCTATAAGGATAACCGGATACTTCTCAATGAAACATTATCCGAATTCACTCTTAACTCTCTTGCCTGACCCGTTTGCCGAAGTGGGTGCACCCATTTGCTGAAGTGATGCTAACCTGTTTGTCGAAGTGATTCTAACCCATTTGCCGAAGCGGTTCGCATCATATTATTTGCCGAACAGGTGCACTAACATAATAATCCAGATTTTGCTAAAGCGACTCATTGCCCAGCCCTAGACGACAGAGTATTGTTAGAGAGCAGGAAAGGATACGAAAGGAGAAATATTTAGAGAAGGAAATTTTCCGTCGTTATCTGGACTCAAACCCAGGACTTATTAAATGAGAGGCGAACACCTTAACCTTTCGACCACGAGAGCCCCCTAAAAACAGGAATGTGTCCGTCTTATATAGTGAATGACTATGCTGCCCTTGTGGGGTCGGGGAAAAGAGGTGATACAATGTAGTTGTAAAATTATGTTCTCGCTGTAGTAACAAACAGACTCCCTATGAGTGTGTTGTTTGTGTATGTGTGAGCGTGTGTGTGTGACACCGGATAGGCTAAAACAGCACCTGGTCATGGATGGCTGGTGCCTCTATAAATAAATCATTGATGGTCAAGGTCAAGTGTGACACGGGTGTTTTGGGAGGAGAGAGAAAAAAAAGAGAGAGAGAGAGGGACAGAGAGAGAGAGAG